TCTTATATTCTGTGTGATGCTTTAGGAGTTTGTGTTACAGAAAGATTCCTGTCAGTCTCTTTCACATTATATTAATAATGCTTACAGATATATATATATTCACAGATTATGTTTACAGAGCCTATAGTAAAATCTGTCACTAAATATTATATAACTGCTATTGTTTCATTGAGCTCCATTGCACACACACAAAAATCCCAATAATATAAAATATTGGGAAAAGTCATTCACAGCTTTTGAGAATTTATATAGATTACTGTAGAATTTATTTAGATAAAAATTTATTAGTAAAAAAAAAGAGATTTTTTAATTTTTATTTTTTTATTATACTACCAGGCCTAGTTTTAGTTATTGACCAATTGTAGTGTCTGTTCATTCACAGGGTTGATTATTGTGTTTACTGGTTTGTGTATGCGTTCAGGTTTGGGCATCAGGATGCTATTACCGGTCTGGACTGTTTGAGCAGAGAGAGGTGTGTGACCACTGGAGGTCGAGACCGGACGGTCAGAGTCTGGAAGATAGCAGAGGAATCACAGCTCGTCTTTCATGGACATGAGTGAGTTTGTAGTCATAAACTGCTCATCCTCAGAATTGACCAAAAAAAAAAAAAAAAGTATTAATTCTGTTGTTTTTTTATGTTCCTGTCTGTGTGTTGTGTCTGTTTGAAGAGGCTCCATTGACTGTGTTCAGCTTATTAATGAAGAACACATGGTCACAGGTGGAGATGATGGGTGAGACTTGATTTCACTACAGCTTTTTCTAAAGGCTAGAGTTTCTATTAGGGCATGTGTAAATTATTAATAAACTCCATTATGTTATGCTGCTTTATCTGTTGATCTTATTGCATTTTGCCAATTACCAGTTTATACCTATTACTGAAATGGTTTGTGCTTTAAAAAAACTGAAATTTTATTGCAAATAAAATAAAAAGATATGAAAAACGCAAACTTGATTGACAGTTAAAAGCCTGTTTACTAGTTAATAAAAAAAAATCCCATAGAATTTTGTATTCATTTTCAGGATTTTTTTTACTTTTTCACTTTGTAGAAAGGTGCATGTAAAGGGGTTCAGCTGACAAAAAAAAACCCTTTGTAAAGACCACTGCTATACAGTGTTCCCTCGTTATTTGCCGGAGTTACACTCTAAAAATAACCTGCAATATACTAAATACGTTTTACTTTTTACCATTTTACAGCTTTACTTTTTTTTTTTTTTTACAATTATTATAGATGTTTTAAGGCTGTAAAACCCTTCACTACACAATTTATACACTTTTCTCAGACGGGAATTAACATTTTCACACATTGAACTTTTGTTTAAACACTCAAAAGTTCAAACTTTTTAAGAAAAATAACTCTAGTATTGAAGAATGAAACCAAAGAAAATAAAAAACCTTGTCAAATTGCACACAAAAAAATCTGCTAAACTGCGACACCGCGAAAGGTGAACCGCTTTATAGCGAGGGACCACTGTAATAAAAAAATCAATGGATGACTACTTTTAATACTTAAACTGACTTTCTTTGATAATTGATGAAGTTTCGCTCTGCTTTGTTGTCACGCAGCGCTGTGTCCATCTGGACGGTGAATAAGAAGAAGCCGCTGAGCTCAGTCAAGCAGGCTCATGGTGTGCGTGGCTCTGCAGGTCTGGAGCAGCCCTATTGGGTGTCATCAGTGGCGGCGCTGCACAACTCCGACACAGTGGCATCAGGTGCCTCAGGTGCACATACACACACAAACATCAACCACACTTAAAGGGAACAAATAATGAAAATCTGACATGTTCACATGATATAATCGAGTCCCTGGTAGGGTCAAAAGTATCGTTTGGTTGTTTTACTGAAATTTTAAAAGCCTCAGTTTCCCGTTAACATTTGTGCACTGTTGAGTGTTTTAAACACTGCTGATTGGCCACTGTGTTCACATGCTCCACTGATATGACTGGGATTAGCCTTAAACAGGGTTCCCGCAAAGTTTTAAAATTTCTATACTGTCTAAAAATTAAATATCTAAATTTTAGGCCTTAACCTTAAATTTGCTCTTCTAGGTCTTACATTTTTGCACAGGTCTTATTTTTTTCAATAAAACCTGTCTTAATACTCATTTGCAGATATATTCTGGAATTAGTTTACCATAATATGTCCCCTTTAAAACTGCCAGCCACTCTAAAAATTTCTTTTTTCACGTTCATAAACACACAATTATCTTTAAGTATGACATTACCATCATGATCTGTCGTCGTTCCACTTTAACCTTATTCACAAAGCACCACTGCTCTCCAAACACCTGATAACCATCAACATCATTGTGCTCTGTCCTCAGGCTCCCATAATTCCTCAGTGCAGCTGTGGAAGTGCGGACAGGGATTCAGAGGTCTGGAGCTGCTCTTCAGTGTACCAGTGGTGAGCCAAACAGCTTGGGTTCAGTTAGTCTGCTACTGAATCATGTCCCATTGAGTGTTTTGATTAAGCTGTTAACTCATTCTAAAGAGGATCAGTTATGTATCAGTTCTTAATGCCAGAGTTTTTCACAACTGTACAGTATCTACAGAGATTGAGCCTGTCAGGGGTGTGGGTTACAGTAAGTGTGACCTATAGTTTAATAAATGATAATCAAATTGTTCTTTTCTTTTTTTTTTCTGTTAAGAACGGGTTTGTGAACAGTTTGAAGTTCTCGAACTCGGGGAAGTTTCTTGTGGCTGGAGTCGGACAGGAGCACAGGTAATTTTTTTTATTTATTTATTTTTGTAATTTAATTGACATTTTTTTTTATGAAGCATAATTTTGTATTTATTTAAAATTGCTGATTTAGGGTGTTCGCTTCCTTAATGTCTTAAATTCATATTTCAAAGGTCTTAAATGCAATCGAACCAACCACCTAAGGAAGATTTTTTTATACTTAAATTTCTTCATCGATCATTGCACAGAACAATAATAGGTGGAACCAAAGTCTATTCATAGTCATTGGCGGAACCCAATTAAAATAGATCCAGGGATTGTGTTTACATAATTTCGCTGGGACTCTGCTTACGTAAACGGTTTGCAGGGATTTCACTCTGTAATAGCTTATAACAGCTGCATCAACTTGTATGTTAATAAATGAACAACTGAAAATGCTCCGACCAACCAGTCAAGGACAAAAATTTGGTGATTATTATTATTATGTATTTATTTACTATTGTTTATTTATTTTTGCTTGACTGGTAAGAAGCGTGCAGTGTTGTCATAGAGACTTCAGCAGACACTCAAAGCCGCATATAATGTGTCATTGGTGCTGACCTTTTTCCACAGTGTGAAAATTTCACTATTAATAATACGATCAGTTATCTGCCGTTAAATGTCATTTAAGCCGTAAGTGTTTTTAAAATGTTTTTCTCCGTGCAAAAAAGAAATTCTCGTAGACATTAGTCTTAATTGTTTAAAGAAAGAATACATCAGTCAAATTTGCAGTTGCAAACTCCTTACTATAAAATTTTTGCAAATTGTATACCAAAACTGGCTCTTTACATGTTATTCTGTGTGATATTAAAAAGGTCTTAAAGTCTTAATAATATCTCTTAGAAACCTGCAGTTACCTTTATATAGTTACTGAGATATTCTGCACTTTATTAATAAGGCATTGTATTCTACTGAGGGCTAAATGAGTAGACATTCCATTCGGAAAATTGGTTCAAATTTTGATCTGTAGCTGTTCATTTAAATATCCAACATTATGCAATTGTGTCTTTTTGACATTGATAAAAAACTATGGACGAAGGCCCATTTTAACATCTTGATTAATCCCTCTGCTTTACTTAAATGTATGTTATCTGCAATATGTTATTTCATTTGAAAAGATATTTCATTTAAGCCACTACAGTTTTTTTTGAAGGTAGTAAAAGGTATTAAATTCAAATTAAGAAGTTTTGTATATACTCTTATAATAATAATAATAATAATAATCATGCAATATTATTTTATTAACTTTACCATTTTAACATTTAATTTCATTGTTAATCGTTGCATCTATATTTAATTTTTGGCACAGATGTATTATTTTAAGCAGTAACGGTATACTACCACTAGATGGCACTGATATGAAGGGAATGGATGTTTTGTTAATGTTCACGAGCTCAATGTATGCTTTTTCATTGTCTTATTTTCAGATTGGGACGATGGTGGAGAATAAAGGAAGCTAAAAACGGACTGTATATAATTCCTCTTAAAAGACAGGCTAAAGAGCAAGAGGTTGTCCAGTAAAGCATGATTTTGGGCTTGAGTTTGGTATCAGAGAACTTTTAATTTGTTTTCTTTACATGATGTAAAAGAGATGCTCAAATGTATATTAAGTTTATCTGTTTTATTACTCTTTACTTTCTACATAAAAGCACAAATGTGTTTGAATGTGCTTTCCTCATCTCTTAAACTCATAAAATTACGGATTAGTAATCCTTATGCCAAATGAAGACTTCAGGTGTTTTTTTTTAATAAAAAGAATTTATTTACATATATTACAAGTATAACACTTCACCAAAGATCACATTAAAACATCTGTAGTATTACCTACTTGTTCTGAAACTGACCACTAAGCGTTTAATGCAAGTTCAAAAAAGGGAAATACAGAATATAGTTAGTTTTGTCCATCTTGCAATGACACCTAAACTAATCCATGAGGACCAAACGTCAGACTTTTTGTTTTTTACCACGACACTTAAAAAGGACGATAATTTCCAACTGAAATTGGACTATTTTACCACCAAACTAAAACGAGAAATCGGTTACAGTTTCCCATTTACTGAGAATACAGCATCTAAAATCACATACCCTGGGGTACATACAAAAAAAAATCATAGTATATTTTGTGCGAGTCTCATTGGTGGTCAAGATCCAATAATCACGAGACTGATACATTCGCTTTTCATGCCTTTCCCCAACGAAGACTGGTTGAAGTCCAACAAAACACAGTTATAATGACTGGAAACTCAAAGTCTACAGTTATCATTACTTAGGACTAGCTTCTTTTGTAGTGTACATAAATCAAGGGCACATATTGCCAAGTCTAGCTTCTTCCGTTCCAGTGGAAAGTGACTTTAAATCTACTAGCACATTGGCACATGAATTTATAATCACATTTACAATGATCTTTGTTCTTTCAGAGCTCTTGATCATAAACAATAGCTTAACCGTGTAACTCAAAAGACAAAAACATGCTTGGTCAGGATGGAGGATGAGACCATCATGAACAATGCGTAGGTGTCCAGTTGTTTTGATTTTTTCAACATTTGTTTTCAGGATAAAACCAGGAGATGAGCTGAGATTGACTTGGAGTATCAAATAAGTGTACGAAATTGCGTCCTGATTGTGATGACGGGATATAAAATTGGCCCACAATTCATCTTCACAATGATGACGTCGTTGAGTCCACCACTTCTCGGCCATTACACACCGTTGGCACTATAGTAGAGGCTGAAGCTGTGGAAAATCGATCAGATGTAAATACATGATGATTATTAATGATTAGTTTAGTTCTAGGAGTCAATGTGGCTACCTTGTGAGTAGGTGGAGCTCGGCGCAGTGACCGCCGAGGAGAATCGGTTGTCTTTGGCCCTCAGACTGGTCACGTTTTTCTGCGGCTGGAAAAGGATGATGTGAATCTTGGGAGCAAAGAGGCAGCCGAGCACCACAGAGCCGCTCAGACTGACCGAGATGCACATGGTGGTGGTCTGCACCTGTACAGCGGTAAATGACTTTCAGAACATGTATAAAAGAATCTTGCTTGATCTAAAAATTCAGTTTTGAGCCACATTAGCCAGGTTTCTATCCAATTTAGTTAATTGTTTTCATCAAGTTATGCCGCCGTCACACTGGAGTTTGAGCATGCGAAATTCTCTCGTTTGGTGCTGCTAAAAGGGGCGGGATTAAACAAGATAATTAGGCATATAAAAAAGTGAGTTATTCATCCAAATTTGACATTTCTATACAGAGAGGTCATGTTTTGATCTTCGATTGGTCTCATGCAGTCACGTGATCTGATTTCGCAGGTCAGAGTTTACCAAGCTTGAATGGGTCTGCCGCATTCAGGTGCTTATGAATGGAAGTTTATGGAGCCTAAACTGCAGTGTGACTGACTTAAGAAAGGCTGACTATAGAATTGGTAACCTAGCAACCAACAATAAACTAGGCTATAATGGAGACAGCTGATTGGTCATGTGGGTGTAATGTTTGCTGCGTAAGAGTTTATTCCAGAAATGCTTTTTATCTCCCTATATTAAGTCCAAAACACCCCAATCGAGTGAAAAACTTATGAATTAAGGGATTTTTATTCTAAATATGGCATTTGCTTCAAAATACGCATAAGTAGAGGTTGATGGAATCCCAGCTATTGAGAGGTGAGCGATATTGAGAGTCTCCATTGGGAAATATGCAGTTGGAATGCAGGAAAAAAAAGCTTTCATGATTATCTTGCAGATCTTGCAGGAATAGGTACCCCAAAAAGGAGAATTGAATCACTATCTTTGCACCCTCAAGTGGTTCCATACCTTTATGAGTTATGAAACACAAAAGATGAAATTTTGAAAAATGCTAGAAACCTCTAACCATTGATTTCCATAGTAGGACAAACAAATAATATGGAAGTCAGTTGATACAGGTTACTGATATCTTTCAAAATAACTACTACTGTGTTCAAGCTTTTTGTGTCTTAAACCTATTTGAGTTAATGATAACAGCATTTTCAGTTTTTGATGAACTATATCTTTAAGGCCTGAGTTTTCAAACTTTTCAGCCTGCGACCCCTAAATTAACAACACCAGTGACTCGCGACCCCCTCTATGCTCTAAGGTGATTATAAGCATACAAATACAGCCCTCAGTGGTGCACACACACCAATAGGAACTACATAAACTTATTGACGACACAAAAAAGTGCAACAGTCTATTTTTTATAATCATTATTTGTTTATTCTAATATTAATCTCACTTAATGAGAATAGTGAGCACAATGTTTATAGCACAAGACTATTCTTGGTTTAATTTTGGAGACTTTGAGCCACTTGGAGATCCCCTGGTTCACTCGTGGCCTTTTTTAATGTATGTCAGTGCTATGAAGGTGTCAGTTTAACATTGTTCCATGAAATCAATCTGCTGCAACTAACGCTATTGCTGTGATGTTAATCTAGCATAATAACCACGGGGTCGCAATCCAATGGAAAAAAAAATTGAAAGGCTGATGATTTTTTATTTGTATGTTTTTTTTGTACCTTTGTATAATATTATATAAGTATATAATATATTATAAGTTAAAACTATTTTTCTATTCTTCATGTTATGGATAAAATATGATAGTTGTACTAGTTTAATAAAATATATGAGATTTTTGGAAATCACCAAGCGAACCCCCCTCTTATTGTCTCGCGATCCCCCAGGGGGTCCCAACCCCCACTTTGTGAAACACTGCTTTAAGGTATGCTGAAATCACTTTCTTCCAGAGTTTAGCTCTTGACCCAATCAAGCCCACCTAATACAAAGTCTTCAGACTCCATTACAAACTTACAGGCAAGTGTACTGAAGATAAAACTTGCAGGACTGTGGCCCTCCAGGACAAAGATTGGACAACCCTGATTTAGCTCCAAGCCTCTAACCCTAATTAAACCCACCTTATCCTGGAAACTCATACCCTTGGAAGTCCTACTGATTGAAAAGCACCCTAGCAGCATCTCATTTTGCATGCTGAACCCTCCAAAGGTTGCATGTGATGGCCACATCTGTCGACGCAGACACTAGGATGTCTCATTTCTCAGTTTTTCTTCCTATTTTGTAAATTACTGTAATTTCTTTCTTACTTTGGAATTTAATATCCATGTGAAATCAAACTTTATAATGTTTATTTTGTTAGCGCACATTGTTAGTCTTTAGGTGAACAATTAATCAGTGCAAGTTATTCCACTGGAAAAAAAATGTTTTGGTAATCTTCAATCAAAATCTGATCATATGCATCAGCTTGTGTAGTGGCATTTCTTATCTGATGATATCAGTTTAACACTTCAGCCACAATAATCTTAACCGCACCCCTTTTACCATTAGTTTGCAAAGATGCGGAATGATGCGCAAAAAACCCTACCCAGCTACTCCATTATAACAAAATATACTTTAATTAAGTTCTGTTCTGAAAAACTGAAATTTAACATCAGAATGAACCAGAAGATGCTGAAACTTTATTTGATGTATGTTGATGTACTTCCAAATGAAACACTATTGGGTAGCGGCAGAGCTTTTGTTTGCACACCATTTCCTAATAGCAAACTAGCGGTAATAGGGCCATAATTAATACTATTGGGGCTGAAGCCTTCAAACTGACTTCAACAGAGAAGATCCGCCACTCCAAACATGAAAACAACTGGTCTGACTTTGACTTTGAAACAATTTTATTTTTAGTGGATTAATTGTTTTCCCAAATAATAATGTGAGCTAGCAAAAATGAACATTCAAACAATAATGGGTACTAAATGAGTCCATCACAATGACTCCTCCGAAATCATCCTTTGAAAGTCAAAATCTTTGAATTAATAGACAGCAAGTAGGTCTCTGGGAGATCTCTGGACCTCTAGTTTATTCAGACAGAGAAGCTCCCAAGCCAAAAAACACTTTATTTCACAGGTGGTGAAACATAAATCTTTTAAATCAGTTTCCTGACAGTTAACCTTCAGATATAGTCCCATCTCTCCTTCCAAAGGTTAACTGGCTGACGCTACACAGCCCTCCAGCACTGATATTGACAGCACCTAACTGATCTGGGTGTAATTCTCTGTGGATAGTGTGATGGTGTTGTAAAATGTATGCGGTCCAGGGATTGCCACTCTCAGCCAGGGGCCGTTCTTGATGACCGTGTTTACTGTGTCACTAACGGAGCTCTGACATCTCTCGCCTTGCAGCAACGAGTCTCCTGATAACATGAGACAGGCAGCCCTCATCCCTCAGATAGTGTTTCTGTATCGACTAGACATTCACATCACTGTGCTGCATGTTTGAGGGACTGAATTTGTCTGAGTGAAAGAGCCAGAGGCCAGCTCTAAATGTAACCTCTTGCTTGGCGTTATTATGACTTGGAAAAAGACTAAGTAAGTTTAATCATCTGTCATAAGTATTATGAATCAGCAGAATCATTATTTACTGTTATTTTAATTAGCATTAACACTGTCACCTTAAGCATGATGTTTTGCTCTATGGGACAGTTCAACGAAAACTAAAATATTACTCAGTCAAGTAGTTGCAAATCTTAATGAGTTTCTTTCTTCTGTAGATTTTATTTTACTTTATTTTGAGTTTTTTTGTTTTTAGGTATTCATGACAGCTGAAAACCTGTAGCCATTGACTACCATAGTGGATAAGACAGATGCTATGGAAGTCGATGACTACAGGTTTCCAACTTGCAGTGTTTGACATAATTTGACCATTTGAAATAGATTAGGGATTCCCACCCCTGCTCTTGAATAGCTCCAGTACTGCACATTATCTCGCTAATTTACAATTTCAGAATTCTGCTCTTAGAGGTCTACTGTCCTGCAGAGTTTCATCTAATCATAATCAAAACAGTTAATCAAGGTCTTCTTTTAAATTACAGGCAGATATATTTGATTAGGGTTGGTACTAAACTCTGTGGGACCCTGAACTTCTTGGAGCAGAATTGAAAAACCCTGCCATAATGCCTTCCCATAACCCCAGGTGTCCAATCTTGGAGGATAAAGTTTAGCTTTCAACACAATTAAACACACCTCAACTAGTTAATCAAAGACTTTTAGATTACTTGAGGTTTTAGAAAGATGTTTTGCAAGTTAGAAATAAATTCTGACCTTCCTAGAGTCAGGTTGGAAAATCAATAACCTGCCTAATCAATACACCGAATTTAACTTCATAGGCATTGACCAGGGTTGCCCAAACTCTGCCCTTGAGGACTGGTGTCATGCATAGTTTATCTCAGGTATGGACAAACTTGTTCCTCGAGGGCCAGTGTCCTACCAGAATTTAGCTCCAACACTAATCAAACACTCCTGAACAAACTAATCAATGTCTTTAGGATCACTAGAAAGCTACAGGCTGGTGTGTTTAATTTGAGAGGGAGTAAAACTGCAGGACACCAGCCCTCTAGGATTGAGTTTGCCCATCTCTAATTTAACTACTACTTTCTTCAACACCGCTGTCTGGAAGTGTCTAGTATACCTAGACAGAGCCTGATTAGCTGGTTCAGGTGTGTCTAATTGGGATTGGAACTAAAGGGTGCTTTCACACCTGCCTTATATAGTTCGATTGAATCACACTAGAGTTCGTTTTCCCTTTTGGTGTGGTTCGTTTGGGCAGGTGAGAATGCAGCTATCGTACTCGAATGCGCACCAAAAGCGGACCAAATAAGCGTACCGAGACCTGCTTGAAGAGGTGGTTTCGGTACGCTTTTAAACGAACCCTGGACCGGTTTGTTTGTATAGAGAATATGATCTGTACTAAAACAGGTCCAACCGCAAAAGTACTGCGACTTTTGGACCAATCCAGCTGCAGTAGGCCGATGCGCTGTGCATTATGGGATATGTGGGAAAAATATTTGTTGACAGCGCTTTACCAAAAGAGAGAGGGGAAACATTACCTGATGGATCATTGGTAATATTTACGCAATATGACCATGTCGTAGTTTAGCTAAATTAATTCAGGCCTCCTCCTGAAGTGACGAGCGATGCATTAAAACACTGTTTTTCCAGCCGTGCTTCATTCTCGAAATATATAGTTTGTCTTAAGCAGGGTTGCAATCAGTCAGCGCAGTCGTCCCTCCAGAGTAAAAACAACATTTTGTGTTTGCCGGTTTTGTTTACCTGCGGAAGTTTATTGGCATTTTCCCGCATGTGAATTCTAACTAATCAATGAGCAGTTTAGGAAATATGTTCAATAACATCTGGCTAATGAGAGATGTGGATTTTGTTAGATGACTGCATTTTGGTTGGTTTCAACTGGTTCGGACCAAAGCCAGCAGTTTGGTGTGAAAACGACCCAAAGACGGCAGAAAATGCAATAATGTATCATTTATTGCCCTTGGTCCGGACCAAATGAAGCGAACTACAGATGTGAAAGCACCCAAAGTCTGCAGGACATTGGCTTTCCAGGAATGAGTTTGGCCACAGAGTCTAGATAAGCACTTAAGGAACAGGGTTGTGAACCACTAAAATAGATAACATCACCACAATTATTTGACATGCACCTTCAAACTTGTTCTTATCTCAAATCTCTCCTACTTACTCTGTAGTCACTGGCAGTGACATAGAAGATGGGCTGGAAGGCCAGCCAGATGATGCAGGTGGTGTACATGGTGAAACCGATAAACTTGGCCTCATTGAAGTTCTCTGGACACTTCCTGGTCTTGAAGGCATAGAATGTGCAGAGGATGATGAGGATGCAGTTGTAGCTGAGCGACACCAGCATGCTCGAGTCTAGACTGTTGCATTTCAGAGTCACCACATCTCTCCGATCTGGACCCACTTCTTTCCTGACCCCCGGCGCCTCTACAAGCAGCCAGACGAGAGCCACCAAGAGCTGGGCAGAGATCAATGCAGCGCAGATTGCTACCTGAGAGGCAGGGCTAATGAAGCGTGGTCGTTGAGCGCTGTCCCTTGCCCCACCAAAGATCCGAGCAATCCTGTTGGTCTTCGTCAGCAAAGCAGAGTAGCAAACCGCAAAGGAGGTGCCAAGGCCCAGGCGACGCAGGGCGCACACAAATGCTGAGGGTTTGGCTATGTAAATGAAGGTCATGGCATAGCACAGGAGCACACCAAATAACAGGATATAAGACAGTTCTCTTCCACTAGCTTTCACCACCGGCGTGTCATTGCTTCGTAAGAAAAGCCCAGCAACTGCAAGTGTACAAAGCATCCCCAGGCAGGCAATGGTGACAGGTCCCACAGCCCATGCATCCGACCAGTGGATGTACTCCTCTGGAAGCTCATAGCACCCTGTCAAATTAGCGAGGGGCCATTGTCCGAATCCACAGTCCACACAGGTGAATTCATTGAGGAGAAATTGGTGGGGTTGGCATGGGATGCAAATCCAGCAGCATACATCCCCAGGCTGCATGCTTTTTGCTTCATTGGGTTGGCACGGGTCACTGCACTGGGATGTAGGAGCTACTCCACCAGCCCAAGGCACCAGACTGGTATTGAGCACTAAGCCCTGTGCCCAATAGCCGACCTTCCGGTAGACATACTTGTTATCCTCTTTGCGGTAGTGAAAGATGTTATAGCGGCCCAAACTGTCACCCAATGAGGTGAACCGTACTACATTCTCAGTGTCGGCAGGCCTGAAGGGAGCTGAAAAAGGTTTGATAACATTAAATTATCCACAGAGTACATGCAATATTTATTTGTTTTACAAATATTGCGCAATTAGTCTTACTTTATTAATACATTATTGATGTAATGGTAGCTAATCTTTTGGCCGGTTTCCACTGAGTGCTACAGTACAGTATGGCTTGGTACAGATCACCTTTATTAGGCTTGCGTTTTCACTGCTAAAAGGGTACAATGATACTCTTTTGGTGGGTGTGGTGTGCGACAAAGTTTCAGCTGATGTCACTCTCGCTCGAGAAAATGTCAAAAGTAAAGCTGTGTGACGTTCACATATCATATGAGAAGAACTTCTTACAACACATGATTTGATTATAATTTCAAATCAATGATGCGAAATAGCCTACTGTAACGTCTGCAGTTATATAAAATAAATAAATGCAACAAATATGAACGCATACAGACCCTTACAGTCTCCAATATGCTACCAATTACAGAAAAACTACACAAGCATAGATTTAGACCTTACTTGGGTTCAAACATATATCTCAGTCAGTGTAAACCTCTCATCTGTATCTTTAATCTTCACCAGCACATGGAATTCCATCATTCCGAGTTATAATAGCCCAAAAGGTGATGATAAAAGTTAAACATGGCAGTTTGTGTACATATTTTAGACTGCTGAAGGAATCCTTTGCTCCTTTGTTTTTTCTGGCTTATCCTTTTTTTGCGTGTCTGAAAAGATTGAATGTCATAAGCACTTCAATAATCAAGCGCACGTTATTATCATCAGCTTAGAAAGTTTGTTATTACAAATACAGACTCGCGGCAAGTTCACGCGAGAAATCGAAACCGCTATAGTGCACAGGGTACATTCTGCTCTTTTTGTCTGTGGCTGTTCATCAAGACGACGACAAGGTTTTCTTGAGCTTGGGTCCGCCTATTGGTACCCTTTTGTTGAGCTAGGTACTCTTTGCAAAGGATACCCAAAAAGTGGTATGGAACGGTTCACTTTTAGGTACCTTTGACAGTGGAAACGGCCATAAAAGCGTACTGTACCATACCACTCAGTGGAAACGGCCCATTATAAATATATTTGACAACATTAAAGCTGAGAGATTTATCTATTAAAAAGTCATACATTAAATCAGTATACCATCTAAGCTCTGACTGAGACCAGTTGCAGCTGTCTGATCATTTGAAAAAGTAAGTTCATTTTCTATAAATGTAATAACATCTGAAGCTTTCATTGGGAAGTCTTTCAGTGAGTGACAAATCAATTTTCCATTGATTGAACCTAATATTAGATATATAATTAAAGAGCTTACACATTCATTTGGTGAGGAGGACATGCTGTATTGCAAGAGTCTGAAGTGAACAAAGCGTGAAAGCTTTTACTGTGTTGCTAATTTTACTCACCATCAAACTTAGTCTTGAGAATAAACTCCCGGTAGAACCTTTTCCCATTGCCTGGCTTCATAGCGTCACACACTTTTGTGGTATTGGGGCACACAGCTTGCCGCATGTTATGTAGGGCATAGGCCATAGCATAGACTGCATTCACCACAAACATGATCTTTGATTCTGGTTTAAACAAGTCGTTTCTTAGGCTTTTACTGGCACAACCGTGGTCCTGTAGATTACAACCAAAGTTATGCTCCCAGTATTCCCTAAACCATGGGTTCCTTGTGTTTAACTCTGGCGTTAGCTTGGTGAAATAGTCCTCAAACTCCCTGATGGAGTACGAAGCAAGCTCAATGGTGAAAGCCCCATTTGCGGCCTTCTCGCTGTCATGGACTACGCTCTCTTGCGCTCCCCAGCCGTCGCTGGCCACCCAAATGAAGGTAACATTCATCCTGGCTGCGGCAGCAAGCAGTTCCCTTGCATCTTCACTCCTGGTGAAGAGGATCACAACTTTGGCGTTGGCTTTCTGCTGAAGTGATCGAATAACTGTTTCGTAATTTCCTTGGTTCACCGAGCGGCTGACTTTTACTGAAGTTGCTATGCAGATTTGCCGTACTCTGGCTTCTTGTTGAAACGCATCGATGCCGGTTTCACCATAGTCACCCTCTGAGGCTACAGTGGAAACGTAGGTCCAGTTGAAGTACCGCAGGATCTCAGCAATAGCTTTAGCCTGATAGAAGTCTGGGGGCACAGTTCGGGCGAAATAATCGTAACGGGATTTGTCGCTGAGCTTGGCGCTAGTAGAAGCATAGCTTATTTGTGGGATCTGGAAGAGTCTGAGAAGGTTTGCCACCTGCAAAGAAAAAAATAATAATAATTAGTTGCATGTATACATTATAGTGTATTGCCATTTTATTTGCAATGTGAAGATTTTTGCTAATTGGTAAAAGAGTCAGATATGCAGCTCAAAAATCACTGGTTTGATTCTCAGCATTGGCAGGAGTTGTAGGTGTAAGAAGGAAATATGCCCTCTTGGCCTTCATTTCACATTACATTTTCACTTTTAGAATAGACTTCCTGGGGTTTTCAGAGGATGTTGCAAGGTTGTTTAGCTTTAGTTTAGTTTCTTTGAAGAAATCCTGTACATTTCTACTTTATTTAATCTACTAATGATGTAAACAGTAGAATGTGCTAATCTTTTTTTAATTTCTGTGTACTGTCTTGGTTCTGTGGGTGGCAACAGTGGAATACTAATTACCCCAGACAAATGACACTAGGTTCCATAAATATGGGGTAATCTATATTGAGCCTAATTTGCATAGAATGGGTTTTTCCTAAGAGAAGACTGTAAATGACTTAGAATGCAGTTACACAGGATTGCAAGACGTAATAGATGCAGGATTTTAACCTAAAAAACATAGGATAGCACTTTCCTTTACAGTCCTGTTTTGCATGTGCATATTATGTATTGTCACTGCATGAACTAAACCTATCCATGCACCTAAATTTAATGAGTTCATACAAAAATTAATGGTCATTTTCTTTCTTTTATTGAAAACAAAGAATAATATTGTAAAGAGCCCCTATTATGGGTTTTTGAAAATGACCATCCATGCAGTGTGTAACACAGCACTAAATGAATGAAAACATCCAGCTGAGGTTTAAGTCCCAAAAGTGCACTGTTTAAAACTATTGATTATTTAACAAAATAGTCAACTTAGAGTTGAGTAAATTAATCGAATTGAGTTTGGATATTTTGCTTGAATGAGTTGACGTGGATATAGTACATCACAAAATATGTTGTATTATATCCGTTAAAAACGGTAAAGTGCATTTCCCTTCAGACACTAGTGCAGCGCGGGGATCACAGGACTGATCATGACACGGATGATGATCCCTAACAGATTTGGCTGCAGAGAATAAAGAGTTTAAGTTTATTTTCACAACAACACCACAGTATAGGCAACCATGTGCTGTGTTTGTTTCTGTTGTTTTTCTGATGATTGATACAATAACCTATGCTGCAGTGTGGGATTCATCTGCCGTTTGTTATTAAAGGAACGACCAGCAGAGACTATTATGTATGGGGCTTTGACAGAGATTTGGGAGTGATTTACATGTTAAGTCAAAGCAAAAACGTGACTAGACATCCTGCAGCATGATCTGCATCAATGAGGTAGCGCGAACGACACGATTTGTGTGAATGAAGTGGTGGGAGTTGAGCGTTTTGAGCGATTGACGTGCAAATCGCTCGAGTTGGAAAATCTGAACCTTAGCGGACATTCACACCGCGTTAACCAATCAGGAGCTTTTATCTTGTAGGGGTGCAGAGCCGGAGTGGGACTTTTTTTTGCTCTGGAGTTTCAAGCCTTAGACCGGCCCACCTCAATCGACGACTGACTTTATTAAAATAACGTCATTTCCAATTCAGTTTCTAATGACACTACCACGTCTTTTTCAAGAACACAGCTGCTTTAGAACTTCAAATGTTTTTCATAAATATGACAACATTAATTCTTTATAGATATCCAGTCCTTTAACAGTCGTCACACACACACACACACACACACACACACACACACACACACACACACACACACACACACACACACACACACACACACACACACACACACACACACAGAAAATGTACCCCATTAGTAACCCAAACAGTATTATATGTCTCTACACTAAAAATGAAAAAAAAAAATTATCATGGTGAGGATCGAATTCGGGTCGGTGACATGATAACGCATCGCGCTAAGCTAACCACTAGACCAAGATAGCACAATTAGGGTGATGAGTTCGGGATATGAAATAAGTATTGCACTGTCATCTGCTGCTATTGATGCCTACTCTTTTTCTCCCCTTTTTAGATTTCTGATCAAGTTATGTCAGATTTATTAATGTAGTGAATCATCTGATTTTCATTGAGCAGGTGTAATTTTCATTAATATTAATTAATATTCACTAAGTTGCCGCTGTTTGGGGTGGAATGATTACTTAGTTACATCATTAACCTGCGGGCTGCATTTTGCTCACGGGGCTGGGAGAAAATAAATAAAAAAAGCGGGGCTGTGGCAAAATAATTAATAAAAATAGTGTGGCTATGGTCAAATAAATAAATAAATGAAAAAAGTGCAACTGCTGAGAGTGCGAGCAGCTAGGGACACCGGCCCTCATGGCCAAAAAACGGACCGGCCCACCGTAAATTCTCCCGGTGCTCCCGATTAGCCAATCCGGGCCTGTAGGGGCGTGATTATGACGTATCACCTGTTGTTGGTATACCCAGGGGAAAATTCTCCTGCCGTCACCAGACAACAGTTCATCAAACTGGGCTCAGCTCTGTTGGAAGCACCGCTAAAAGCTTTCATCCACGTATAGTTTCTGGAGAAGTATATGAACTCACAGAGTTGGGTGCACTTCTGTATGCATCTAGTGGACTCAGACACGGCACCAAACGAATCTACGTTGTTTTTCAGCCTTCATAAAAGCACACAAACACAATTATTCTCTCAGTAAAATCCATGTTGGCCATTTAGCAACAAAGCTAGAGTCAGAGAGCAGACAGAACCCCCACCCATGATGCGAATCCACATGTAGTGAATTTGACACGTGAATAAAGCAAGTAAACTGAATATGTTCACGTGTCTATTTACGTGCTAATAGCATTATTTATCAGCGCGTACTACGTCATGTATTTAACATGTATTTAATTGTGTGTTGTAACTTGTAATCACTCCGTGCCGCTTGTAATCATGTATCTATTATAGATCAGTGCTTGTGCTGTATTTCACAGGTTGAATCTGTATGGGGCTATTCACATAGCGTCCAAAACCATGATAAAAACGTGACGCGTGATTCTTCCTTTACTGATTTAAATGTGTTTCTGAACTCGCGATCCTCTGCCGTTTGCCTTAGCCATGGCCACCATCAGCTGTTCCTCACATGCGTGGTCAATTTTCAAAATAGCTGAACTTTGGCCACAGTGTGGATTAACACTGAATGTGTGTCGTTACTTGGGGTTAGGGTTAACAGTAGAGTAATATGCTGGTGTTTAACAGCATTGCTTCAATGCATTCCTGCATTGGACTCACATACTCTGTGTGATACTTCATAGCTGTGGTGGGTGTTTCTCTCTGTCTTGCACTAAACGCAGTTGATCAATCACAACAGACTGGGTCATCGGATCAATAAGCACAGATTAGCATTGCGCTAAGGAGGGATTTGGGAACAAATGAATCGCTGAACAAATCAAATGAGAGTTGTTGGCATAATTAGGTAAAAATAAATGCTTATAATAAGACAGTGGTAACCAAACTTGTTCCTGGAGGGCCGGTGTCCTGCAGATTTTTAGCTCCAACCCTAATCAAACACACCTGAACAAGCTAATCAAGGTCTTACTAGGTATACTTGATACATCCAGGCAGGTGTGTTGAGGCAAGATGGAGCTAAACCCTGCAGGGACACCGGCCCTCCAGGACCAGGATTGGTGACCCCCATTATAAGACAATGAAAGTGTTTTTTGAGCTTGCATGTATATAAGCCTGTTGTTGGAGACCCCCAAAACCAAAATATGACCTTTTATAGTGCAAAATATGGGCTCTATTAAAGAATGTCGGAAACTGGTAGACATTGACTTCTATAACAATTGTTTTTTTATTTCGATGTCAATGGCAAGCAGTTTTCAACATTGAAAATATCCTATGTTTAACAGAAAAACGAAGCTGAAAAGGGTCTGAAACCCCTTGATAATAGAAAATGTTAAAATTTTTATGTAAATTGTCCATTTAAAGCTACCCTTTATATAACTAGCCTCATATCTGGCAAGTACAAATATAGTATTTAAAAAACAGTGCAACCATTACTAGAGCAAAAGTAGAGCAACTGTTTAGTCAATTAGCTCAAAAAAATAGGCTTGTTTTGCCGTTCAGCTGCATAGTTTATACCATAAATTAAAAATCCCAGTTTGCCAATAAGTCAGTGACCCATAGATGCATTGTGCAATCTTGGTGAGTGCAAAATGTCCCCTAACATTCTTCCTAGTGTGGGAGGAAGAAAAAAAGATGCAGCTCTTACCTCTGTCCTCTTTTCCTATCTCCCTCATCTGAGCCTATCGTTTCAGGCCATAGTTTCATGGGACTCAGACAGACCTAATTCTGATCACGCAAGATAACTGTGCTAGCAGACAAAATGATAATGTTAGGTATGGTGTATGATTTCCTCAGGCCATGACACACCATCAAAATCTGAATTGGATGCTATTCATCATTTCAGTGAAAACACTGACAGAGGAAAGAGAAGACGGCAGGTCTGTCGCCAGGATGGCATAACTGGGGGGATATTGTAATGCTATTTATTCACTTCGCCTATTTGCTTTTACTTTACTGCCTGCCTGATACACTTTCAGATTCCAATATTAAATCAACTATTAATCCAAGAGGGGTACAATCTTCTGTAAAATCACTCACCAGTCAGCCTGCCACTGAATATTCATTTATCAGTTTTATATAAACAACCTGTTGGACACACTGTCTCCTCTCCGCATGCACCAGTCACTTTCTTATCAACAGTTTATGTTTTTGGAAAACATTGTGCAAGTCTTAATGTGAATCAAGGTGAGTGGGCTTGATAAACCACCTGTAGGACACACTCTCTCTTCTCAGTATGCACCAGACGCTTTTATCAACAGTCCATGTTTTTGGAAAACATTGTGCCATTCTTAGTGTGGATCAATCAGGTGAAGTGAGCTTGATAAACCACCTGTATGACACACACACTCCTCTTCAGGTCCACCAGACACTTTCTTATCAACAGTCGTTGCTTTTGGAAAACATTGTGCAAGCATTGGTG